AGAAACTACCCCCTGAGAGTCGGGGGAGACCAGAGGGGTTGAGACGAGAGGGTAAGGTACTTGGGGGATTCCCAGCCTCCAGAATGAGGAACTACAAAAATACACTTAAACAAAAAATGAGACAAGTGTGGGCTTCTGAAAATCCCGGAGACATGCTCGGTCGGGCATGTCTGAGCCCTCTGGTGCCCGGAGAAACCCTTTCTTGGGTCCCCTGAACTATTCATCTCCCCCACTGCCCCCCTATGTCATCCTGAACTCAGGATGCGGAGACATGGCCTTGAGCAATCCTCCTAGGTCGGATCACCCCTTGTGCCCACAAGATGCCCTGGAAGAAGGCAGCCCAGCTGGCAAGGAGACGATAACCACTCTAAGAGCTGGCATCTGTCCACATGCGAAGGGACAGGAAACCAGCCAGACCCTCCCCTTCCCTCGGCCCGCCTTCCTTCCCACTGCTGGCCGGTCTTGGAGGCGAACCGGACAGACGCCAGCCTTTCCTGAAGAAGGCTTGAGTTTCCCCAAACCGCAACCCCATCCACGCTGTCCTGGCACGTTGCCTGCAGTGCCCCCGCGTCGCACCCTCTGCGGGCCACCTGGAACCCCAACCTGGGAGGAGAGAGAGGCAGCCTAGCTAATGCAGCCAGGACCCCAGGGTCCAGGCTGAGCTTCCACCACCCTTCTGTCCTCAACAAAATCAGGTAGAAGAGCCCTTCCCCGAAGGAAGGCTTCTCTGCCCCTTCCCCTCTCAAATCCCAAACTCCGCCGTCGGGTCGGAGCAAAAATCCAACTCACGGCGGCGAACCAGCAGCCCAAGAGGAGACACTGCAGAGGCAGGCGGACCATGGCGAGGTCGGGAACAGGCGGCGCGGGAGCGTGCGGGACCCGCTCTGTAGTAGCTCCCGGGCCTCAGCGGTGGCCTCGCCCACTAAAGGGGCGTGGTCTCCGAGGGCCAATCGCGGCCGGCCTCGCTGGGGAGGGCGGGGCTCCCGGCGACTCGCGGGTCTGGGATTTCCCCAGGATATTCCCGGGTTCAGTTTCCCCGGGGAGTTTAAGGACGCGCTGGGAAAGAGGAGTGGAGGGTCCCAGGGAGGGCCCTTCCTCCTTAGCCCCCGGGACTCCAAAGGCCAAGCTGGAGAGAGGAAGGAGCCTGCAGGCTTTCCTGGGGGGCGAAGGAAGGGGAGAGATCCCCACCGGGGCTGGGAAGACACCACAAGGACCCCCACGGTTCTTCCCCCGCCGCCTCCGGGAATCCCAGCAGAACCGAAAGCGTCCCCACCGCGGGTGGAGAGGCCTAAGGAAGTTCCCCCTCCCGATCCCCCAAAACGGGAAGGCCACCGCTGGGGTGTGGGAAGGAGGGCTGGGGAGGCGTTTCAAGGAAGAGAGTTTCCCTCTTAGAGTTTCTCTTTCAAAGGAAATTCCCTTCTATGTGCCCAGCGTCCCTGCCTCCCGTCCGTCCATCCATCCATCCATCCATCCATCCATCCACGCAACCATGCGCCCCTCCACCACCAGAATCTATCCCATCCCAGTTTCCTTCTGTCTCTAAGCACTAGGACCCCTTGAGAATCTCAGGAGACTCCCACTCTCTTGTTCTGCAGAAACACACACACACACACACACACACACACACACACACACCTTTGTGCTCACATTTCTCCAGCCTGGCCCTCCCATCCTTTCTTGAATCGGTGTTAACAGTCTCTGCTGTGCAGCACACAATAGACACCAAGTTTCCTGGGTTCTACTCTAGGCTCTGCCTCTGATGGGCGGAGTGCCCTTGAGCGCAATTTTTCCCCAATGAAACCTGGAGAACTAGAACTAGACAGTGGTTGAGGTGATAATTCTCCAAGCTCTGAATTTCTGAGCCAGGCCAAAGACCAGGGTGTGCAGAGCTAGGGGGATGGGAGAGGAGAGGGCTGCTAACCCCATTCTCCTGGCTTCTGATGCAAAGAGCCTGTGGATTTTACTTCTGGAAGCCAACCTCTCTTTTCCATCACCTCTGCCACTACCCTAATTCAGAGGCTCATCATCTTTCACCTGGACTGTCCCAACAGCCTCACCCAGTCAATAAATATGATTGAGCCCCTACTATGTGCTAGGCAACTCTAACAGCTTTTCTCTCTCCCTTTCCCTCCTCCCCCACACCCGCCCCGCCTCCCTCTCATTTATACTGCAATTCCTTTTATAAACCCCAGATCTAATCTGATCAGGACACTCCACTGCTTAAAAACTTCTTTGGGCTTGCCCAGCTGGTGTGGCTCTGTGGTTGAGCATCAACCTGTGCACCAAGAGGTCCCTGGTTCAATTCCAGTCAGGACACCTGCCCAGGTTATGGGCTGGATCCCCAGTAGGCAGCTTCAGGAGGCAGCCTAGAGATATTTCTGTCTCTCCCTTCTCTCTCTAAGATCAATAAAAACATACTTTTTAAAAACAAAATCAAAAACCCCTTTGGGCTCCCCTATACCCTCAGGATAGTTCAAACTCCTTCTTGCAGAGCAAACCCTTCTCCACTCAGCCCCAACCTCTGTCCCCACTCCCCACTCACTCCCTGTCAAATCCTCCCATGTATACTGGCTTTAGCCATGCTCACCTCCCAATTTTCCAAACACACAATTGTCTTTTCTTACTGTGTCTTGCTGTTTTCTTCTTCCCCTTCTCCTTCCTGAAGCCAATTTAAATGTTGCCTCCTCTTAAGTCTCCTCTTAACAACCTGAGACACAGGTAGGTACTCTGCTCCGCCTCCCCCCCTTCCCCACCGTGTTCCCACAGCATTATCATGCTGGGCTATAACTCCACCTGCTGCCCACATTTGACTGTGAATTCCTTGAAGACAGGACTAAATCTATCCGAGGCCTGGCACACAATAGAATACCAATACACAATCACTGAATGAATGAGTGAGTGAGTGAGTGGGCTCAGTAACTTATCATTCTAATCACAGGCTCCATCAGGAAGGAAGTGGAGGCAGGAGCTACAGAGCTGATGGTGGAAGCACAGACCTCATGCTGGTGGTCAGATGCCAACAGTGGAGAAACACTTGAAATCAGCATCCAGGGGACTTCATGAAGCCACCCAAGCTGGCCCAGAATGAAGAGAACATTAAAATATCTTTTCCCTTTTTAAGCCACTTCAAAAACACCAGCACACTTTTAATTCCCTTTGGGTGCGGGGGCATCACTATAATAACGTCAGCCATTATTTATTCTTTATTTGCTTGATTTCAAAATTGGGCCCTTCACAAAACTGCCTTGGAAAGCAAGCACACAGAATTAAAACATTAATTATATTATATAAAACATATCAGAGCAGCAATTAAAGCAGCTTAAATTAATGTGTGAAAGAATACATAGTAATCTTCGGTTGCCCCATGGGGCGAAGACCAGATAGCATAAAGGGAAGATATTCTAGTATATGTATACTCCGAGGAAACATGTGCTGGCAGGCACAGACCCAAAGAAGGCATAGAATCTACTTGGGCTGGGAAGTGTATGTCGGAGAAGGAAAAAGAGAAGACGATTTATGGGGAGGATGGCAATATTTCAGAGTCTATCAAAGAGAACTATGAAGGGTCCAGTGATGGGAGTAGAGCAAAGGGCAGTAAAAGAGTGGGAACCCAGGGTTTTGGAATCACAGAGAAAATGGGCTTCATATGGGGGTTGGGGGTCATAGGGCCAGGTGAATGGGTAAGAAGTGTGCCTGAGGGTTAAGTCCATAGCACTGCCACAATCTGGTGACCAGATGGTTCTACTATGCAAACCCCATTGTGTTGCTCCCAGATTTGAAACAACTCCCCCAAAGCCCTCACTTCTTAAGCTCACAGGGCCTGAGGCCATGGACTTTCTGGCCTGCATGTCTAATTGTCCTTCCTGCCTTCAACTTGCCGCTCCAGACTGTAGTGTCACCTCTTCCTGTAAAGCTCTTCTCCACTCTCCTTTTGTTGTACCAACTCCTTCTCACCCCTCAAGGCTTCAAGGCTCAGCTCAGCTGCCCCTTCTTTGGAAAGTCCTCTCCAACAGCCAACCTCCCTGGGCCCTTTCAGTTTTCTGCGGCTGCTTACCTATGCAAGACACTATATTTCAATTATTCTGTGTACTCGTGAAACCAGTGTACCGAGGCAACTCAACTCGGTGGGGCATAATAATGAAGCTTCCCCCCTAATCTCAGCCTTAGCCCTGTTGTGTTGAATCTCCCTTTTCCATCCCTTAATGACATCTCCAGCAGATTGCTTTATTTTTGGATCACTTTCTGTTGTTAAACCTTCATCCTTGAAAGCTTTATTTTCAAACTCAATTTAAATCTCATTTTATCTTCTCCCTTACTCATCCAAGGGTTGACTTGAGCCAGGTCCCTGCCTGCTTGGATAAAAGGTTGGGGGAGGAGGGGCATTGCCTGGTTGGGAGACATGCCCCAGCACCCTCCCCCTTATTGACACTGAGAGGAGGGAGTGGGAATAGCCCTCTGCAATAGCCCTCTCCCTCTTGTCAACGCTGCTTCCCTAGCCAACCCAGAGTGGCAAGTGTCCACATATGGTTTCTCCTGGGGCACATTAAGTTTCTTGGAGGCTTCCCCACTGCCCAGTTCTCTGACAGAGGACACCCAGCTCAGGCTTGAGCTCTCTCTCCTGCCTTGCCTCACTACCGAGGCTCCTGCCACTGGGGAGACCCTTGTGCACAGCAGTCAGACTGCTTGGTGGAATATCAGAAAGCCCAGCTAACTACTGCAAGTTCCACCTGACCCAGAGAAGCTCACGCATTCTGGCCAGCTGCTCCGTAGTGACCCCTCTCTCCACCTCTCTGCTCCCCTGCTCAGATAGGCACCGGGGACATCAGCAAGTCAACTACCAAGTAGATCCCACTGGGGAATAGCATCCTAGCATCCTTTCTTGCAGTCACCCCTCAATCACCATGAGAGACTGTTACGGCCAAAGGTGATCCTGAGTGGGGGGGACGGGGAGGGGGCGGTAAAAGGATTGAGAATAGACAGACAAGAGAATGAAAGCTGGGTCTCGGTGGGACGCTGCTCCCTGATGAGGAGACAGCGCCAGCGCCCACAAGCCGTGTCTTTATTTTATAGCAGATGCCACGAGGCAAAGTAGGGGCGTGATCACGTTGTTTACAGCATTCTCATGAGTTTCAACCTCACTTAACTACATGCACCCGAACTCTATCACAAGGCACGTGGGGCCACGTGTTTGGACCATAGGTTCAAGCTTACAACCACAGCCATTGGCTATGATTGTGCTGGGAGGGCCCTGTCCTTCCAGCTGGGACTTGCAAGTGGCAATGAGAGGACCCTGTCCTTTCATTAGTCCGAGGCTTGAACCTGGCCAAAACACTGTAGCCGCACCCCACAGAGACTCCCAATCAAAGTGGGAAAGATCGTCTTCCACCATATATATATTCCTCAATAAAACCAGAGAACTCCTCCCTCATCAGGATTATTAAATGGACAAGGAAAAAGAAAGTGATGTTTTGACTAAGATAGAGGTTCAGCTCTGGCCCCTTTAGCAAACATTCGAGGGAAAGTATCTGGCTCCCATTTGGAATGCAGAGTACATAGGACATGTTGGCTTGGCCATGGGCTACAGTGCCAACTCCTAAGTAACAGGAGCTCCCATTCAATAATATCTGGACTGGGCCATCCCTCCTACCTAACTTGATTCCTACAAAGGAAGATCTTTATAGCCTGATGCCCACAAAGAGCCCATGAACATGCTAGATGCTGAACAAGCGTTTGTTGAGTGAAGGTGGGACTATATGAGACTCAAGGGATCCACCTGCTCATTCCATGCTGTCCTGGGTAGCTGCCAATCTTCCCGAGATGACTAGCCTCTCTAACTGGGATTCCCGGGTCCAACTGTGGACAAAAATATTTTCCTTCAGCTCTGCAGAGTAGGGTTGGGATTTATCAGAGG